CTCCCGGGTGACCGAGCTCCTCACCCTATCTCTAAGGGTGCGCCCGGCCACCCTGTGGAGAAAGCTCATTTCGGCCGCCTGTATCCGGGATCTTGCCCTTTCGGTCATGACCCAAAGTTCATGAACATAGGTGAGAGTCAGAACGTAGATCGACCAGTAAATCGAGAGCTTCACCTTATGGCTCAGCTCCTTCTTCACCACGACGGACCAGTACATCGACCACATTACTGCAGAAGCTGCACCGATCCACCTGTCAATCTCCCGTTCCATCCTTCCCTCAGATGTTGTATGCTTCCCAAACCTGCAGATCCTACATGGAAAAATGTTCTTTTCCTCGCCTCTAGAAAAATATGAAGTCACCCCAGTGATTACATCCAGTTGCTCTTTCTTGCCATAGTGTCATCTCAGCATTCTGTCAAAGTACACAGGCAGGTTCTCGTTGGCGTCTGAAAGCAGGCGGAACAGCAGTGACCACGAGCTAGTATGAGAGTGTGGGACGGCTTCTCCCTCCAAGGCTGGGAGGGGGTCGTGTTTGCCTTCAGCAAAGGATGTTGTAGGCCCCACCAAGTCAAACAAGCAGCCTGTTGCCAAGTCATCGAGCCCGAGATACTTAAACTCCTCCACTTGAGGCAGGAGCTCTCCACCAACTCTACAATGTCCCTCCCACTAATTCTACAGTACTTTTACCATGAACACAAAAGCTTGTTGTTGCCCCCTAATCCGTCATGCTGCTCGAGAATCAGTGCTGCCTTCAAGTACAAATCTTCAAGGCAATAATGGGGTAAATAAGTAAAAAGTAAGAGCCAAAGTACATTAGGAGCAAAGGTAATGTATAATTAAAATACCTTGGCTGAAAACTTCCACACAGCTTTTTGTTATTCTGCAGTTTACACCCGTTTGCCAACAAAAGTTGCAGTCTGAAATGTTAAGACCGACTGGGGGAAGTCACAGTTAACAAAAGCCTGCTGTAAATATAAAGTAAAGGAAGATAATGTTCTACTGTTTTTAAAACCAACCACTATGGTTGTAATGTCACACCACACAGCCGTGGAAACCACTCGAACAACAGACGAATGGCCCGTGACTCTGAGAGGTGTTAATGAAAAATATGTTTAACTACATCTCGACTGACCTCAGTGTTACATGTCAGTATGACACCTAGCTAAATGTCAGCTGTGGGCGGCTGGAAGCACTGCACAATGCATAGTCAACTGTGTACGTAGCTACTCGTTGTCAGATTTGTGATCAACAGGCGATTTTCCATCTATAAACATGCAGTCAGCTGTTATATAGAAGTCCCATCAAACTTCTCGTGCCATGGTCCGATGAGCTGCTACCTCAGCCCCTAGAAAGCTAACGTTAGCAAAACAGTTGACAAGCTAGCTATTTTAGTAGCCAATAAGTTGTTACACAGTGTAGGTCAACACGTAGTGCTTTGTGTAACGTTACGGTGCAACGTTTAGTCTAGTTCATTGACAAGCACCTGGCTAATGTCAACCCAGTTCTAGTTAATGCTAGAAAGTAAGATCGAAGTGCTACGTTTACTTATCTATCAAGGATCGAGCTAAGTGCCTGATCAAAGCTTAATCGAAGTCATCTTTTTACCTGGATGGGAGAACTGGTCATTTAGTTTGCGCCATTATTCGCTCGGTTCTTCATATGCTGTGGGAATATCAATCAAATCTGTTTTTACGGTACAATTATTGACAGCTCAGTGATTGTAAACAGTAGCACGCCCTGCCCACTTTATTACCAGGTGACATGGTATACGTGGTGCAGAGGTTTCTGGGAAATGAAGTCGAACTGGCAAACGTCATCACACAATTCGGCTGTTTCTGTACTTTAAAAGTTAAATGAATTCTGTCATTTTCAACAAGCTGTGCACGGACCCAAAGAGAGGGGCAACAGACTAGGCCACCATAATTATTCAGGGCCCCATAATAAGCCACACCACTTATCCTCCAACCCTAAGCCATCATAACATGCACATCAGAAAATATGCCACTCTGACCTAAATACAAAGCTTTCCTGAATACGATCTTCACCCAAACAAAGAGCAACCACAATAAGTCGTGCCAGTGAGCCACCCCTTGTATCTAGACAGCCATACACAAAATTAACCATGTGATCATAAATTAAGGAAAGATCATATTAGTCTAGAGGAACACATAACTTGTTTGGCCATCCAGCCTTACAACATTATACACAGGTGAAATTTCTTCAATTAATTGGCCCACACCTGGTTGAATAATCATGGATGTAACAAGCTGAATTCTCATTCACTCCAAATCAATTTATTTCCATAGTGACAATTCACAATTTTGCACTGCATTTTCTCGTCAGTCCACTCATCAAAAGAATTTTACAATACTGTAAAGCAATTTATTAAGTAAAATAAAACACCGTTACCTTCTTTGAGCATAACGGAAGACAAAAGTAGACCATAAATAAACAGTTTTTACAATTATAACAACTGAATTTTGTGTTTAAACTGGATAGATTAAATTTTGCATTGTTGTTTGTGGCTCTGATCAGGGAGTTTTGGTCTGTTCCAGAAGATGGGGTATCTTATTAGCCAAATCTAAGCAAATGATATACTGTAAACAGTTCTTGAAGAAACTAAATATCTTGTTACAGTATATATTTTGTTAAATAAATATTAACAAAAACATTTGTAAACCGTATGCCCCAATCTCAGTTGTTTCTGAACCCGCATGCAGGTGTTCGACGTCTCCAGCAGGTGGCGACCGCCTGTGTGCTGTGCGCTCAAAAACAATCGTAGAAGAAGAGGGACACCGTTTTGTTCAGTTAAACATGGCACCCTCCTTTATGAGCTGCCCGGGCAGTTGATCTTAGGAAGGAATTTAAAGCTATTACCTGAATAGGGTTGTCACGCTAGCGCGTGTGATTGTTGTCTAAACGATGAACTAAAGAGTCCGTTTAACGGTAATCAGCTACGACATGTCTTGTGGTATAATGTAATAACAGTTCACTTTGTTGGCGTTGCGGTTAGCATGGGTATAGCGCGCTAACTAGTTTCCTGGGAGATCAAAGTACTGTTGATTAAATTATAACGTGTAAGTCTTGTTTGTAATAGGTTAGAATTAATTTAGTTTTCATCGGGTAGAAATATCTCGCCATTGAATTCATTATAACCAGTAGCTTGTTGCACACCGACTCAAACCTCCTACGGCACATCAGTCACAGCAGCTTAAACTAGGGTATCGGTAACATCCTTGTTTAACGTACTGCGTTCAAGGATAACAAAGGGCCTCGATTTCAAGGATATTTGAAGACCATGTTATCTACAAAGTAAGGGAAGTAGAGAAACATCATGGACTTTTCCGAGCAGGGGGAAACCGAAATCCCCCAAGTCATCGACATGACCACCAGTGAAAAGGTAACTTAACATTATCGTCTTCATCCTAATAGCACAGTAGCTTTGTGTGTGAGTAGATGTGGGACATAACACAGGCACTTGGAAATGAGACTGGATATCGGCTTGGGTTGTTCGGGATGGACCACTACACAAAAACAAAATATGTATAGTTCCCCTTTGGGACTTTAAGTGTATAAACCCTCCGTCCAGCGTGTTCTGGGCCCACAGATGAGCGATTTTTACATGTCACTATGTTTAGTTTTAGTGTTGAGCAGCTAATAAACAGGCAAAGAAGAGCAAAACCAAAGAGCTGTTACGTTTTAATATAATAATCGAATCAATGTGATTTGTCTAATATGCCAGAAAACCACTATTTTCATGTATCGGTAATAAGTAAATGCCCATATAAAGATAATGTGATGAGGTTTTCTTTGCCATTTCAGGTGGTGGAGCTCCTGAATCAGGCTGCTCTAACATCCACAGATGAAAAGCTAATAATGCTCAAACAGGTTTGTATTTTGATAGTTTTAAAGCTGGTTTTCAGTGCTGGAAAAGCCCAAGAGAAGTATTATTAAAAAGCAGTTTCTTAATCCAAATGCTTAATGTGTGATCTGTGTGAAATCCATGTATCCACAAATGCTTTCCAATCATCACTTGACCATTTTGCATTGAAATGTACCATAATCTGTCCTGGGTGGTTCCCTGCTTTCTGCCCCAGCATCTACTGCGATACAGTCCACATACCCACAACCATATAAAGGTGCCAGTATGCACACATTCATACTGAATCAGTGAATTGATTTCATTTTCAGGTCCAGGAGCTTATCATCAACAAGGACCCCTCCCTTCTTGACAATTTTCTGGATGTAAGTACACCTGTATGCAGTGACCAGTTGACTGTCTTATTTGTCTTGTGATGAGCCAGATAATGCCTGACTAAGATTACATTACAATGCTGCTCTGTGCAGTTGACCTGCAAACACTGGCTTAAAGCGTCAGTGATGCCTCACAATGCTCAGAATGCTGTTCTCCCTGTGAAGGGCTGACATTTGTCATGAAATATGGAATAGAGAATAATTGTATCTATTATTTATGTTAATATGTATTTCAGAGAAAGGTGTGGGGTTTTTTTTCTTTATTAAGTGGGAGAGAACCAACACTTTAGCCATGTATGACTGTGGTAAACTCAGACTTCTAAGCCTTCTGCCATTGGTCTCCTCATCCTGTAGGAGATGATCGCTTTCCAGGCTGACAAGTCTGTCGAAGTGAGGAAGTTTGTCATTGGCTTCATAGAGGAAGCATGGTGAGTTATTAGACACACTCCTGGTTGTCTTTTCCATTTTTGTGATAAGAAATATGTTAGTTTTCTCAAACTTTGCTGTTTTGTTTTTCAGTAAAAGTGACAATGAGCTTCTTCTCAGACTGGTCGCCAACCTGAACATGTTGCTGAAGGATGAAAGTGTGAATGTGGTAAAGAAAGCCATCCTCACATTCACCCAGCTGTACAAAGCTACTCTGCAGGTAAATGTACTAGCTCAGGCCTCATTGATGAAAAACCCAAACTGACTGATTTTGGTGTGATTTACCCTAAACAGGAAATGTCGTATGTCTGATGTAGTCTGCTTTTTCATAGTAATGTAAAACAAAGTCACTACCATGCTCTGTGGCCTTTTCTCACCCTTCACTCTTCTGTCTTGTTCACGCCAGTGGTTGGTGCGCTCCAAAGCAGTGTCGGACATGCAGGATGCATGCTGGGAATTGGTCACGCAGATGAAGAGGGATGTTCTGGCCTTGCTGGACTCTGAAAATGATGGTGTGCGCACTCATGCTATCAAGTTCACAGAATCACTAATTATCACTTTGTCACCGCGGACATCCGACTCCGACGTCCCCAAACGACAGGAGGGTGACATCAGCCTGGACAAAGTTCCCAGAGATCATTGTTACATTCGATATGGTACGGATGTTAGAATTCTGTTGCAGTGAAATGATGCACCAGTATATCTTTTAAGTCCAGCCCATCAGAGCTCATCTTTTAAAGCAGAACTTGTGACACTTGTGTTCTAACATCATTCTCGGTTGTCGCCAGATGTTCTGTGTGAGGAGGGAAAGACGGCACTGGAGAAGCTGCTGAAGTTCATGGTCCACCCGGCCATTTCCAGCATCAATCTCACCACAGCGCTGGGCTCCCTGGCTACTATAGCCCGTCAGAGGCCAATGTTCATGTCAGAGGTGGTGCAGGCATATGAGACGCTGCATGGTAAGTGCTTCTGAACCAGTGTCACAAAATCCCAAATGTCAGATATACAGTATGTTGATTTTAAAACTTTGACAAATTGAGTTTTTAGTCTGCATCTTCTGTAGTGCATGTTGTCACGCCAAATACATAATTTACTCTACAAAATATCTATAAGCAGTATATTAAATGATTATTTCTTTTTGCTGTGTATGCTTGAACCTTTTCAGCCAACCTGCCGCCCACTCTGGCTAAGTCTCAGGTCAGCAGTGTGCGGAAGAATCTCAAGCTGCACCTGGTGGCGGTCCTCAAGCATCCCTGCAGCCTGGAGTTCCAGGGTCAAATCAGCACTCTGCTGCTGGACCTGGGAATGCCCCAGAGCGAAATCACCCGCTCCACACCTGCACCACGAGAGCAGCGGAAACGACCACGCCATGACCAGTACGCAGAGGGAAAGAAGGTCAAGATGGGTCAGTACTGAGGCTGTGATTGTAGTCTGGGTTCGCAAAACACACGTGGACAGTATAGAAATCAACAGAAAACATTTTGTGGTTGTCTAGGTTTTGATAAGTTTGAATTAGATTTAAAGAGCATTAAAAATGCTGTAGCTACACCTACAGCTGTACACTTCTTTGGTTTTTAGACACTTGCCTTTTACACATTCTGACATTTACTGCTGTGAAGAACATGGTTTGCCTACAGCAAGGATGACTGTTTACATCAGCACCTACAACAAAATGTTTCAGTCAAATGAAAAATTTGAGCCTGGTGAAAGAAGTGTTGGATACAAACACCCACAACATTCGTTTCTTTGGGTTCAGAGCCAGCCCTGATTGAAGATGACGAGGACAAGGAGGAGCCAGCTCCTCTGTCGGTCCCTAAACCAGCTGCTGTTCCAGTCGTACAGTCTGCCATTGATCTCACAGCTGAGTTCCTGCGCCCTCTGCTTACCTCTGAGAATGTGGCCAACCTGGTGAGCACTAGGGCCCTTTTTTCTGTTTTCTTCTCTCACTTAGAGCCCGACTGCTTGGATGTTCATCTTGTATCCCTGTGCTGTTGTGTAGGTGCTCATCAGCATGGTGTATCTGCCTGACATCATGCCAGCATCCTTCCAGGCCACATACACACCTGTTGAGTCAGCAGGCACAGATGCCCAGATTAAGCACCTGGCCAGGCTGATGGCCACGCAGATGACTTCAGCTGGGATCGGTCCAGGTCAGTAACAAAGACGTTAATGCATCGTATGTTTTATTTTGGACTTAAGTTTTACATGTCTGTTCTTTAAAATAATGAACCAGACTGATCTATCTGCAAGTGCAACTAACAATTATTTTCATTGTTTAATCATTTTGTCTACAGATCGACTGAAAATAGTGAAAAATCCCCATTACAACATCTCACTGCCCAAGACGGTCTATTTTAGTTGGCATGAGTTATTTGACCAAGAGTCCAAAATCTATAAATGTCCAGTCATATATGGCAAACAAACACAAATCCTCATATTTTGAGAAGCTGGCCATGTTTAGCATTTCTTCATAAAAATTACAAACCATTAATCTGTTATTGAAAAAGCAGTGTGCAGTAATTTTCTGTCAGTTATTATAGCTCATTAATTGCTGCAGCTCTAAAGTATTGTACATTAGTCAGATGGTTTTACTGTTGAAAATGTCTGTATTGTTTGACAACTGTAAAATATTCTGCTTCGTTACATATACATGTCAAAACTCACAATCAAATTTGCTGGAATCTTTTCCAAAATGTAAAAAAGTAACGCATACACATATATAAATAATGTCTGTGTGTGTGTTTTACTTTGAATGTTTGTGTCGGCCAAACAAAGGACTTGAGCAGTGCAAAGCCCGAGAGGATGATGCAGGCAAAGAGGAAGGCAACGAGGACGATTCTGGTGCCAAAGACCTGCTCATCAAGCGCAAAGTCCCAGCTGTGATGGTGGGCCAGGCCATCTCTGTGGTGGGAGGTTACTCGGACAAGGCTCCAATCACTGAGGCTGAGGGCCGCGCCACAGTTAAGAGGCTTCCTGAACCCATCCTTCCTACTGCACAAGCCAAGTGAGTTCTGGTACCAGCACGGCGTTGGCAGCAGTTGTTCCCTTTTGTGTTGATCCCACTTGGTGCCGTATATGATTTTTGTTCTCTTACAGGATGGCAGGGGCCAGTGGGAGAAAAAAAGTGTTCCGCTTGGCAGATGTTGTCCAGCCCTTATCAGATTCCCAAATGGAAAAGTTAACATCCAGAGCAGTCAGACGCATCCTGCACTCAGAGAAGGCAATCGCTCAAAGTGGCATGTCCCATGTAAGTATCCAACCCATGACAATGCACCTGAGGCTTGTTAAGCACAAAACAAGTAAGATGATCCCAGTAAATCTGTGCGACAGGTCCGAGTCAAGCTCCTCTCCAGGCTTGTGACGCAGTTTGAAGGGATGATGAAAGAAGACGTGCTGGACTTTATCCTGGAGGACATCAGGACAAGGAGTGACCTGGCCTTTTCTCTCCTCTTCCAAGAGTACAACACGTACCTCAGCCAGCTGCCCGCTGGGCTGCTGGACAGCTACGACCACTGTCTCTACACTCTGCTGTCGGGCCTGCAGGAGAAACCTGAACAGAGGGACGGGTGTGTGAATCTGTTCATCATTTCCTCATGTTTACAGCCTGTCCTTTTCTCTAGCTCTAACTTAAACATAAGGCCAGACATGGTTTACTAGTAAGATCTTCTATAGAGAGCAAAAGTGGTAAAACAGTTTTTATGTAGTGAAGCTGTGAGCCTAACTACATCACATTTTGTCTCCTAGACTTTTTACCAAACTGGTCCTGGAGGCTCCCATTATAACAGAATCAGCGTTGGAAGTAATACGGCGTTACTGTGAGGACGAGGTAAATGACGTGATGAGGCCGAGCTCCTGAGTTAAAGCTAGTTCTACAGGATCACCTTTGTCATGTCTGTTGTCTTTCTCATCTCTCAGTCTCGGGTGTATTTGGGCATGACGACTCTGAAGGAGCTCATCGTCAAACGGCCTTCGAGGCAGTTCCAGTATCTGCATGTTCTGTTGGATCTCAGCTCACATGAAAAAGAGAAGGTGACACTGACATCCTCACAGATTACTGCTCTACTAACTATGGTGTGTTGTCATGTTGTTCAGTGACTGTTGTATTCTCAGGTGCGGACCACTGCCTTGGCTTTTCTAAAGCGTATGTATGAGAAAGACCAGCTCAGAGACTACATTGAGAAGTTTGCACTGAACTACATGCAGCTTCTGGTCCACCCCAACCCTCCCTCTCTTCTGTTTGGAGCTGACAAGGATACAGGTTTGGACGATTGTTGTTGTTTTTCTTTTTACTTAGCCTTCCTGAAATCCTCAAAGCACACAGTAACATGTTGTTAGTAGCACCTCACATCATGCTTTGGCAGCCGTTTCTGGTGACAGGTTGCTTGAGCTTGTGTATATTTAGCATTTTCCTTCTGAACCTTCACTGAGGAACTTCAGCGGGGGATGTGGACAGGCCGTTTCTTCAGTGGCACCTTAGCAGACACTCTGTCCCAAAGCAGCAACACCATGTGTTTAACAGTCGACTGATTTTATTAAAGGCCCTGAACATTTGCTTCTAGTTGTTCCACTGAACATTAAAAATGTCTTAGTAAATAAACAAAGTCTGAGTTCACACAGGGCCCTGTCACTCATAGTGAGAGGCTGGTGGAGAGTCTTAATGGTTTGTAAGGTCAAAGCATGTGGTTCAACTGCAGTTTAACTTGCCAAAAGCAAAGTGACAGGCAATCATTTTGGAGCTTCAAATCACTGATGATGTGTGTTTGCTGAGACAGAAGTGGCCGCCCCCTGGACTGAAGAGACTGTCAGACAGTGTCTGTTCCTCTACCTGTCCCTACTGCCACTGAACCACCGGCTGGAGCCCCAGGAGGCTTCTGTTTTTAACCTTGTCAGC